GTTATTTCATCTCATTTTTCGGCAATCTCCTTTCTATGTATAGAAGTTGCCTGGCCTATTTATTGCAAGTTACTCGCGATATTAGGACAACCTAGTTTTAGACACCCTGCCCTAGATGCTCTGCTATAGTAGTTATCACAATTCCCAGCGTTTGACAGTATACTTGGTACTTTTCCAGACGTTCCGCCGGCATCATCAGTGTGTTTTGCCATTCTTATCACCAAGCTACAACTTGTTGAATAGACAATCAAAGTCAATGCCTTGACTTACTTTCTTTCAAACTGTTCCTTTTTCTGTTTTGCCCCTCTATCTACTTCATACGCTCACTCCCTCCTTATAAAAACTTCTTTACTCCTCGAGAGGTGTACAATTTTTGGCGAGCATAGTGTGGCGTCATCACATCTGCGGTTTACCTTGCCCTCGCCCCCACATTCCATTTCGAATTGCTGATCCGACTTGGGATTCCTATCCCGATTTCTTCATAGGTCCATAGATGTGCTTCTTATTTTTCTAGTTGACTGTTTTTACTCGGTTCAGTCCGAGCATACGTTTCACTCCAGAACCTATTTCTCACGACTTTAGTAGAATGCAAACCGCCTCACCAATCTGAGCGCTTAGGCTCTTATTCCCGTACTTGCAGATATTTGTCAATCTCCGCGACTCATCACCCTGATTCAACTTCTGTATCCTGAGAAAATCTCTGGTCGCTTGCTACCTATCGAGTATATTTATAGTTAATTTAGCTATAATGCCGAATTTATGCAGCACTGGTTATCTTTCTCTCTACTCTGACCACGAAGCCCCTAAAATTGTAGTTCTTTCCCCGAGCAGATTACACTCACTTAGAGTGTTGCCTTTATTTTCTAAGGTTTGTAATCTGCTATTTCCTCTGCGATCCTTGATTTAGGTGTCTTCCTCCTGCTGACCCTGTCGTATCCTTGTTTTCTTCAAGTTTGCTTAAGCAATAGGCAAAGGTATCGCAAACGCTAACTACCTCTAATCTGTTCATTAAATAGCCTTCCCCAAGGATGTAAATAGCCTTCTTAACCTTCCGTTTCCTTGCGTCTAATCGTAACTTATTTACTGTTAGTCTCGAAACTGGTTATAAACGAACAATAAGTAATTTAGTCGAATGTTATAGCAAAATATAACTTTGCTTCATCGACAATCCCACCAAAAAATGAGATGTGTGAAAATGTCTGGACCTCTTTGAAATTCACATCTGCCCTATGACCAAAGGATATTCGTGGCAGTGGTGGAGTGGTTAATGTGACGAGCTTGCGTTCTACACTGTCATGGTTCGACTCTGAATTGGAGTGTTGATAAAACATAGGCGAGGTCGAAACTGAGTCCACATATTATATTCACTGGAAACATTAGCTCTATTCATATTATTGCGGGAAAATTAAACTATATTTTCTTTATCATTTTAAACGAATTAGAGTGAATAAATCTAATATCACCGCAATATGCTCTTCTCTCTTGCCTTCCATTTGATCTCATGTCCAGTCTGAGTAATCTGTTCTGCTATTTCTGATCTTTAGGTATCCATTTTTTTGCAGAGTCTTTAATGTTATTTGATACGTGAAGTGTTGTTTTTTCTTTGTGGTCACTTGAATATTCCATCTTAATATTGGCCATGGTTTTTTACTTAGTTTAAATAAAGGTAGACATATCCACTTTTTAGAGGCTTTGTCCTTCCTCACCTTACATAATCCCTTTCCTATCATCGACTTTTTACGAACCTTATATTTATTTGTGTTACTTCTCTCGAGTATACGTTGCTTATGAATATGCGAGTCAATTTATCAAACTATTCGTTCATTTGGGTCATCCTGACAATACGATCAAGTTGCGAAAACTATGTTAGATCATTTCCTTTTGTTCTTTTGTCATATCTTTTATCTAATGTATAATCATTTGTTCCACCAAAATTTATCGCCTTGCCCTCGATATAATTTTGAGATATCTCTCTTTAGAAGTGCCACTTATCTTTATTAGACAAAATCGATCTTCTATTTTGCACATAGGGTGACTTCAAAGTTATGATCTTTCCTGGTTTATATGATTGTATTTTTATTTAACTAAATAATCCTCTACAACTTTATATTTTAATCTCCAAAAATTAATTGCTCAATAATTTTGCGATTTTATTATTTTTCAAAATCATCTTCAGTGGAGGCCTTCCGATATTGATCCAGGGTGAAACTTCTGTTGGCAAAACATCACTTATTACCTATCTGGCACGTCGAGCAGGGTTTCCATGCTATCGGATCAACAATCATGAGCACACAGATCTTCAAATCTACCTAGGTGCCTATACCGCTGCTTCCGCCAGTGCTCACGTCGCACAAATCAATAGGGGTGAATCTGACGATTCAGCGCCGCTCAGTAATCTACCTGCTTCATCGTTAGTCTTTGCTGAAGGTATTCTTATTAGTGCAATGCGCCTGGGTCATTGGATTATTCTTGATGAGCTAAATTTGGCTCCCTCGGACGTGCTGGAGGCCTTAAATAGAGTGAGTCTTTGGAAATTTGGCTATCATTTGAATTCATCCCTATAGATTCATGCACACTCTTCCTAAGCTCTCCTGGTTCAAGTGAAATGCTTATTGCCATTATTCTTAGCATAGCTTCTATCTTGTGCCCTTATAATAGTTCTATCTGATCAATCGTTTTAGATGCATTTATAATTCATCTTTAAATTACAGTTCGAATATTTGTATTTTATTTCATTACAACTTATTATTCATTTGTAAACAATTGAGTTTTTTTGGAAATTTGAGGCCTCTTGAGACTCATCTTAATAATTCGACATTGACCTAATACTCCTTACTTATCAATGATCCACCATATTTAAACCATTTTTATAACCCTTACTATCTAGCTACTGCACTAGACGAATAGTTATGCTCAAGTTTTGGTTGATTAGATCGTATTTCAATATTACTACAGTTCTATAAAGAGCGAATACTTATAATTGACTAT